CAAATGGCATATGAAAGGATGATGTTTCTAGATTCCATCTCTCTATAAATGTTGATACTAACTTCTGATCTATCATCGAAAAACTGGTTTTCTGTAGAGAGGATAGACCAGAATGAGACAACCATCTCTATATCACCGATGGGAAACTGTGTGGAATCCATTCAATCAATTTTCTACTTAACGTAACAATCTTTAATTCTTTCTTCGGAACTCTCTCGTAAAAATAATTCATAATATATATGTTATAAAATATAAATAATTAACATTAAATTTGACTCAACATAAAATGAGAGAGATTAACTTACTTCGTTAAATCACAAAAGGCGGGCAATGTGGTCCTGATACCTCACCAGAAGAGACGTATCGAATGACCCTCCTAAGAACTCTGGATGCAGTGGACGAGGCTCAGGTGCATCTATATGATGTTCCTCTTGATCCATCGGCTATTGAGGTTGTTGTTCATCACTTGTTCGTCGATAAATGCTCTCATCCCGACATCTAATGCGAGTCACTAAAAATAACAAAAAAAAATAGAATTCTAAAAACATGATATGGAAAACTGTGAAATAAGTTCTCCAAAAAAATTACAAAATCTGAAAACCTTAGTGTTAGTTTTTCGGTGTAGAATATATCTGAGTTGGAATACTATATCTCAAGTTCTTTGGGGTGTGACTTTTTCCTGCAACAAATCAAATAACTTACTCTTGAGTTCTTCGGTGTTGAAAAAAATGAACCGAATATCTTTTGTCTGAGTTCTCCGATTTGTAATGGATTTGAATAACTTAGGTTTGTGATTTCCAGATTTCACGTGCTCTCTCTCTCTCTAAAATGAAATAAGGAAAAAAGTGAGTTTTTTTTTAAATATAAGTGTTTATATAGGGATATTTTGGTATGGGTAGATGGATAAATGCAGAGGTATAAGGTATAACTTTCCAACATTTATTCCCCATTCCCCAATCCATATCTTACACTATTTTGATCAAAATGTTTAAATAGTTATTATTCTATACCATCTTCATCTTAGATTTAAGTTTAGGATATTGTAAAACGAAAAACTTAGAGTGATAATCCAAAGGAGTATTGACGATATTAGCATCAAGTATTCAAAAAGCTTCACCAATTTCTTCATGTAAATAGATTGATATAAGATTAACTCACTAGTTTTGCAATTTCTCATAATATCCATTCGTAGGATCTTAGCTTCACCAAATCTTTTCAACTCAAATTCTCTTGTTAAAATTTTCTCGAGCTTACCAATCTATTCCTTGCGAGAGTTTTCCATCAAGATATTATTAACATACTAAAGTACCATTCCTCTTCAATATGTATACACGACTATTATAACTATTTCTCATAACAAGATATTATTAACATACTAAAGTATCATTCCTCTTCAATATGTATACACGACTATTATAACTATTTCTCATAAAACCATGCTTTAGAAGAAACTCATCATACTTACTATACCATTTCCTTGGGATTTGCTTCAACCAACACAAAATTTTGTTAAAAGACAATCTTCAAGTCGTCCTAAAAAATCCTTAAGGATGTTTTATATAATAAAAATATCTTGACATTTATTTATTACAAATTAAGATTTTATTAATTTATAATAGACATGAGTACCCTTATAAAACAATTATTATTTTGGGTGAAACTATTTTATAGTGAATTATCTAGGTAAATTTTTGTCTATAAGTCTTTCTATATACAATGTTTCTTTATTTCCCAAAATATTTTCGTTCGTCATGAAGACCCACTTGCATCCAACAACCATTTTTCACTCAAAATGTCTCACAAGTTTCTAAGTATGATTCTTCTTCAATGAATGCATTTTAACATTCACAACCTTCAAGCATTTTTGTACTCTTTATTTTCAAATGTCTCTCGTGGTCTTTGGTTCTAAGTCTTGCAACTCTTCAGGGAAATTTAAAGTGTAATAAATAAGATCATTATAGCCATTTATGTGAGGTGGTAAAATCTCCCTCCTTACCCAATCACAATTCAATTGATAGTATAGAGTCATTGTATATTACATTTCCTTAATACTAGAAGTGGAGCCCTAACTACCTTTTCATCTCTAGTCTTACAAATAGGAACCTCTATTTCAAACTGAGTATTCACCACCTTAATTTTTAAGTCATCCAATTATAGGTCTTTTCACTTCATCCTCACACATATCTCATCAAAAGTAACATCCCTGCTTCTGAAAAACTTGTATCCTCTAAGCTCCATCTTCCACCGCTTATATTCCTTCACACTTTTAATATAATTAATAAAGACACACTTCACAACCCTAAAGTCAAATCTAAAAACTTGTCAACGAATAGAAAAGTATGGCATATTACGCCTTTAAGCAACGGTTTCTCATCAAATGTCTATTCTTCTTTTTCCTAAAGTAAAAAATATTGTAGTGACGTGATATGTGCAAATTCCGAAGCAATAAAAAAACCTTCAAACTAAAGAAATCTATTGATTTATCACTTAATACTTCCACATGTGTTTTAAAGCCTATTCTTATTGATAAACATATGTTAATTAAATAAGTCATATTAGCAACAACTTTACTCCAAAAACTCTTGGATAACTCATCTTCTAACAACATGAATCTTACCTGCCCCAAAATTGTTTTATTCATGTGTTAAGGTAGTCCATTTTATATGCCTCTTTACACCTTATTTCCTACATAATGTGTTATGTAATGCTTCAGACTGCTTTCAGGATTACCGACTGATCGCACAAACCAACACGTGTCTTTTCAGCATGTTCTGTTCTTACTCACACATTTTTTGAGAAACTTTTCAGAAGGTCACCCATCCTAAAACTTTTCCAAGTTAAGCATAGTTAACTATGAGTTCTTATGGAGTGGGCTACCAAAAAGAAGATGCATTTTGTTACTATACGCAGTCTCATACCTGCATAGCCTCATGATCCCTCTCATTCCGAAGTGAATTTAATTTTTCCCTAAAAGCTGCTAGGAGTGTCTCATTGTCATGCCTCGGGCACTGACAACCACTCCCTCGCCCTCGAGTTTTACATGTAACCATTCTCCGTCCTCTTCTATCTCGGGTGTTACATGTTAAACTTCTTTAAAACAAACTCTATGATATTATTAGTTCTTAAAACTTTCAGTTTATTTTTCAATTGATCTTCTATGAAAAAATGTCTTTGCTTAAACTTTTCAAATGTGTCACTTTTCTGTTAAAATTTTAAATTCAATCTTTTTAAAAAAGAATCTCCCATGTAATTTTGCAAAATAACTAAATTTAAATATTTCAATTAAAGCGTTATGCATAGTTGTGGCATGGTCATATCAAAGCCTAAAGTAGAATCAATTCTGCATCCTAAATTGATTCTACTTGAAGCTAGATTTTGTGTATCTTTGGTTTAGCTTTTGGAAAAGTCAAAAGCAATTCTAAAGGTGTAGAATTGATTTTTAAATAATTTTGAGATGTTTGGTTCTTCTAAATTATAATTAATTTTGCCTCCAGAATTTATTATATTTGAAGCTGCAATTCGTAACTTTTGAGTTTAAACGTGATTGTTACTCTAAAATTTGTTGTTCAAATCACTTTTACATAAATGTATCCAAACATAAATCCCTTTACATCCAACTCACTTTTAATTTGAATCAATTCTACAAAATCAATTCACTCGTAATCAATTCTCCTTGCTGCTGAACTAAACATACACAAATTTATAGCTTTTGGGTTTAAACATGATTTTTATACTAAAATTTATTGTTCAACTTAGTTTTACATAAATGTACTCAAATATAAATCATTTTACATTCAAATCACTTTTAACCAAAATCAATTTAAATAAAATCAATTATCGTCACTACAAAAGTAAACAAACACTAAATGTGACGAACACAATTTAATCATTAAAAAAATAAGTGCGCAAAGATGTCAAAAATTGTGTGACTCAAATTTGACAGCAATTTTTATTCACCCAATTGTGAAAATTACAAACAAAAAAAATTGGTTAGTCGCAGCCAATCATTCAATACTTCAGGCTGGTTTGAAAGTGTATCAAATTATAATGATTATTTTTTGTTAATTAAGACAATTAGATTTTTTTTATAAGAAAATAGTGATATTAACAAAATTTACAGCCAAACAATAAGGTTTAATTCAATCTTACAAAAAAAAACGAAAAGATATAAATGTTATTGATAAAAATTACAAGACGTTTTGCCCTTACATAATATAAGGATCCACCACCAAGATAAAAATATAATCCTTATAACAATCTCCTGCAGATCGCAAATTCCGTCGTTGAAAATAATTTGGTTTCAAGCCCACCAAATTCTCCCACAAACAATCAACCAAAAACTTGTAGCAAATTTAGATGAACATTTTCCTCTCAGACCATAATCCCGAAATGTCTTGGAGTGCTTATTTCATCTATCCTACTTATCTCCTACCAAGCACATATTTTATGCCACACCATGAACATTTTAGGACAAGACAGAAAAAGATGCAATGAGTCCTCTATGTGATTAAAACAGAAGGCATATAAAGGTTGGTTCAGTTGGTAAAAAATTGAATAACTCTAAAAGTTGTGGATTTAACTCCGGCTGGTAAAGTGAAAACCTTTTTAATAGATAAGTGTTCATCGAGTTTTAAGACCTATGAGTGCTAGGTTGTAAAACTATAAAAATATAGGAAAATTTTACACTAAGAAACAAGAATATAAAATAAGAAAAAAATAACATTAATTTGATTTTCATTCATCCTAATATCTTAATAAGATTACATTATATCAATGTTTTAAAACCTTAACCAATTATTGATTCGGTCGAGTTATTAGATTATTAGATTACTGATCAGACCTGTGAATCACTAGTTAGACTGCATAACTTCTAATTCAGTGTATACAAATTAAAAAAAATTATGAAAATTTTTTGACATAAATTTCATAACTATAAATCTAAGAAAGAAAATTTGACGAATTTATTCATGCAAATAAGTTGAATAACAATCTTAAAAGCATTAATTATTCACCCTACTAATAAAGTTTTGAAGATTCTTAGAAGATTGTCCACCTTGTTCTATATTATCAATACTCATTTTCTGAATTTTCAAACACATTTTCTTTATGATATCATCATGAACTACTTGATCCACCTTCTTCCTTATCTCTTGCCTTGATATAAACCCCTTATCATCCTTCTCTAATTCAACTCCAATCTTCCACACATCACAAATATAAGACTTATTAAGAAACTGATCTGTGAAAAATGGCCAACACAAAAAAGGTACACCACCATGTACACCTTCCATGGTAGAATTCCAACCACAATGACTTATAAAACAAGCAATAGCTGAATGGTTCAATATTTTTCTCTGTCGCGCCCAACCAACAATTTTACCTTTACTTCCATGAAAATCATTAGGGTATTCATAGTTTACCTTGTCGTCGTTACTCGGACGAACAACCCAAAGAAAAGGCTCGTCGAGAAGATCAAGCCCTAGGGCTAGTTCATTGAACTGGTTTTGTTCCATTTCTACCAAGCTTCCAAAGGAAACATATATGACAGATTGAGGTTTTTGTTTGTCTAACCATTCTAAACATGTTGTGTCTTCTTGCCAAAATGAACTTTTGTTGTCGTTAGTTTCAATCAATGGGCCTATTGGTAGAAATTTTTGTGATATGGAAAAAACACCAGGCTCAAGATCATGAGTAGTGTTGCAAAGCCACCATTCAGCTAGGTTTATAGTTTGTATCTCTTGCAGAATATGATCAAAGAAGATTTTATCTAGGCCATGCCATGGAATGTTTCTTGTGTCCATCTTAGGTATATTATGAGAGATTTGAATTTCTTCTTTTTTGGTGGGATTTCCTACAATATGTAAAGGAGATCATGGAAAAATAGATGATGAGTTTATGAATTTTTTTTTGTTGGTAAATATGTGTCTTTGGAATTATTACCAAAATTTCAATGAACAATTTTATGCTTCAAGAACTAAGCACAAATTGTTCATCTTTGTTTGTTTTTACTGTAATTTATAAATTGTGTAGCTTAAAAAATAATATTAAGAATGTTATTTTAAATTCATTTTTAACTTTTATTTTAATGAACTTAATTTAAAATTGTTTATATTTTTTGTAATATCAAATGCTTTTAATAAAAGTTATTTTACATTTGCATAATTTTTTTCAATAATAAATGTTCATTAATAAAATAAGAAAAAAAGATAGAGATTAATTTGTTTCTTCTTTTTTTAATAAAAATATCATTTTTCTAGTAATAGATATTGTTGTTAAACATATCTTAAAATATTCTTTTAAATAAATAAAAATTAGTTTAAATAATTTTTAAAATAATGTTATATTTAAATTATTAAATGTAACTATTACTATTTTAATTTATGAAAAAATAACTTTAGATATTTTTTAAAAAAAATTCTTATAAAAATTATTATTTTTTAAATCTAAAACAAACCACAAACAATAATGATAATAACAAAAAAAAATTAATTCTAATAAACATTCTTATGATAATCTACTTTTAAAAAAAAAAGTAAATTATGATTACCTTCATAGTCAATAATCCCATCCTCAAGAAGTTTAGGTATGCTTACAACACAAGCCAAGCTAGTGGCAGAAGCTGGATGAAATAGAGCTCCTTTGATTCCCAATTTGTGTCCCACTTCCAATGCCCAACCCATATTAAATGTAACAACAATACAATTTATCTTATTATTTTTATTAACATCTTCTATAAGCTTTGGAAGTCTACTAGGCATGGTGCTTTTAATTGATAACATAACTTTACTTATATCACTTCTATCACCTTCATGCTCCAATCCATCTGGAAGTGTCACCACTTTTATCTTGTCTAGCCCGGAGGCGGAACCACCGGTTCTCGATCGGTTATGGCTGAACTCGGTGAGTAGAAATGTGACCTTGCAACCATGTTTGGCTAGAGCTTGGGAGAGTTGCATAAGAGGGTTGATGTGTCCTTGAACTGGAAATGGTATAACTAGAAAATGAGGCCGAGGCAAAGGCAAAGTACTCATTTTTGGAATTGTTAGAAAATTATTATATTATGGGAAGATTTGAAGAATTGGTTGGTGAATGATTAATTTGAACTTTGTGTTCATTTATAGTGGTGTGTGTGGAGATAATGTTACACAGATCTACTTTGAAAAATCTATGTACAAATAAATTAAAGTCATGGTTGGTGGATTTTGAAATGTCAAATATTTAATTTTTCTATTAAAGATAATTTTGATTGCATCATGGCTTAGCAAAATCTAATATTAGTTTGAAAAGTTGTTTTGATTTTGGTTTCATCTTTCATTTAAATTTGATGTTGCACCACTTAACTAGTTTATATTTTTATTTAAAGATTTTAACCAATAGATTGATATCCTACACTTTTTGGTTTTACCCATCCTTATTTTGTTGAATTACCCCTCCATTCAAAGGTATTGGAATTGGTTGCTTTTAGAATGGTTATTGATTTGTCTCTTCTCTTTATTGCTATTGTTAACATTATTTGGATGGTTTGAAAAATGAGAAACATCAAATTCAATGATGTGTTGCCTAATTTTGAAGATATTATGAACAAGAAGATGATAATTATTTGTAAATAAAGATATTCAAAATATATTTTTTTATTGGGAGATGGAGTAGAAATAACTATTATAAACTTGAACGCAAGAATAAATTCTTTAGAAGGATGTCTTTGCTAGGGCAAAGTTGTGAAGAATGTTTGAATCAATCGGAGGAGGATGATCAGAATGATTGGAGCATCAAGAAATTCAAATATCCAACAAATGCTCAAGAAGAAAGGGAGGGAAAAAAGGAGAATGATCAGGTGCAAGGTATTTTCTATTCATCGTTGATGACTATTTCAGAAAGCTATGGTTATTCATCCAGAAGACGAAGGATGAAACTTTTGAGAATTTCAAAAGTTGGAAGGTTCTGGTCGAAACTCAAACTGGCAGAAAGGTTAAGAGGTTGAGAACCGACAATGGCCTTAAGTTCTGCAACAAAGCGTTCAACAGTTGTTGTATTGAGTCTGGGATTGAAAGGCATAAGACTGTAGCAGGTACTCCTCAACAAAATGACTTAGCTGAGAGATTCAATCGAACAATCCTTGAAAGGATTAGATGCATGTTGGTTAGTGCTGGATTGAAGAAGGTGTTTTAGGCGGAGGTTATTTCGACAGCAGTTTATCTGATAAGTAGATGTCCCTCGACTGCCTTGGGAATGAAGACACCTGAAGAAGTTTGGTCGGGACATCCACCTAGTCTCGACAAAGTGAGAGTATTTAGTTGTGTGGCTTATGCTCATATTAGGCAAGACAAAGTCGAACCTAGAGCTCTGAAATGCATGTTCATGGGATACCCTGAAGGAGTCAAAGCTTATAGGCTATAGTGCCTAGATCCAGGTCACAGGAGGTGTATCACCAGTAGAGATGTAGTTTTCAATAAAGTGGAGATGGCTTTCAAGAAAACTGATGATGTTAACGAAGAGCTGGAACAGGGAGAGATTCCTGTTGAGGTGGAGCATGTTGATGCTGAATTGCGTATCCCAGATGAAGTCGAAGAAGATGTTGTCGGAGATGAGGAGACTCAAAATGACTACTTGCTAGCGAGAGACAGGTCGATGAGAGTCATCAAACCACCTCAAAGACTTGGGTATGCAGATCTTATAGCTTATGCCTTAATCTCTGCAAGTGAGGTTCTAGACGAAGAACCTAGAGACTATAAGGAAGTTATAAGGAGTCGAAAAAAGACTGAATGGCTAAAGGCCATGGATGATGAGATGAAATCTCTTCATGATAACAACACCTGAGAATTGATCAAGAAATCTACTAGAGCCAGGTTAGTCAGCTGTAAATGGATTTTCAAAGTTAAGGAAAGAATCGAAGGAGTGGCGTCAAAGAGATACAAGGTGAGATTGGTCACTAGGGGGTTCACTCAGAAAGAAGATGTCAACTTTGATGATGTGTTCTCTCCTGTTGTGAAGCACATATCCATTTGAATGTTGCTTTCCACGGTGGCACAGTTCAATCTTGAACTGGAACAGATGGATGTGAAGAATGCGTTCTTGTATAGTGATCTAGATGAAACAATCCTTATGAGGCAACCTAAAGGGTATGTCGAAAAAAGGAAGGAAAATTATGTATGAAAACTGAATAGATCTTTATATGGACTGAAACAATCTCCACGATAGTGGAATAGGAGATTCGACAAGTTCATGGCACGCATAAGTTTCATTAGAAGTCAGTTCGACCACTGTGTTTACTTCAGATTTCGACCTGATAATTCATTTGTTATTTTGTTGCTTTATGTGGATGATATTCTAATAGCAAGCAACAATGTCGAAGATGTAATCAGGGTGAAGGTTAAACTCAATAAGGAGTTCGACATGAAAGATCTGGGAGTTACGTCTAGGATTCTTGGGATTGACATTCGAAGAGATAAAAAACAGTCGAAATTATGCTTATCTTAAGAGGCATACCTACGGAAGATTCTCGAAAAGTATGGTATATCGAATTCAAAGCCTGTTATGACTCCGACAAACCCTCAATTCAAGCTGAGTATAGTTCAGTGTCCCAGTACTGATGTCGAAAGAACTTACATGAATAGCATTCTATATGTTAATATAATGGGTTCTTTGATGTATGTTATGGTATATACTAGACCCGACATAGCATATGCAGTAAGTCTTGTAAGCAGGTACATGGCGAATCCTGGAAAGGCTCACTGGCAAGCATTGAAGTGGATTCTAAGCTACATAAATGGGTCTCTGAATAGAGTCCTAATTTATGGTGGAGCCTTGGGTGAAGATAGTAAAGAAGTAATTAAAGGATATGTCGACTTCGATTATGCAGGTTGTATGGATTCCAAAAAATCTATTTCTTGATATGTGTTCACTATGTTTGGGACAACAATCAGTTGGAAAGCTACACTTCAGAAGGTCGTTGCCTTATCAACCACTGAAGCAGAATATATCGCCCTAACTGAAGCTGTGAAGGAAGCATTATGGCTTGAAGGTTTTGCAAAGAAGCTGAAACTTCAAGGTCGAGTTATCACTGTTAAATGTGATAGTCAAAGTGCAATACACCTGACAAAGAATTCAGCCTATCATGAGAGAACCAAGCAAATTGATGTGAGATTGCATTTTGTCAAAGGGGTAATCGAGCGTCGAGAAGTCCAAATGTTGAAGGTTTCGGCAGATCATAATGTTGTTGATATGATCACCAAGGCGTTGCCCAGTTGCAAGTTTTTCCACTATATGCAATTGATAAAGTTGCATGAAGAAAGCTAGTTTCTTGATGTTATAGAGTTAGATCCAAGGTGGAGATTTATGAGATATTGGATCGAACTTTAAAATGGTTGAAGTCTGTTCGTGAGTAATGCATGTTGTAGTCGAAGTTTGTTCTAACATGCATTAGTCAATATTGCTAGGTTTGTTAGCATGTTAAATTGGACCTTGCTTGTAAGCCCAATTGTTTAAGTTATCTTGTACCCTAAGTTAGCTTATAATGGGTAATTTTTAAAAAGCCAATTAGATTAGTGTGTTAGTTTTCTTATAAATTGGACGATAGTCTCTCAACTTGCATAAAGAAAAATAGGAAGATAAAATCCTAATTCAAGAGAGAGAGAGAAAGAGAGAGGTTATTTGTTATTCTTGCATACTTGTAATATTGTTTGATAGATAAAGGAAAGAATAGCAGTTTATAACCAATCCTTGTTGTTTCTTCTTGTTCTTCTTGGTTGTATTTCCGTTAGCCCTAACCCTTGTGTGTTTCTTGATCATAAAAAAACCGTTTATATTTTGTTTCAAGGCATCCTATTCACAACACTCGAGTTCATATTTTCTGACAAATAGGAGATGAGAATAGCAGTTCCTTAGCATAAAGGTGTTATAGTGAAGATGGTTGGAAGAAGAATTGGATACAAAGCACTAGAGAACAGGTTGTATCAAATGTGGGGTAGGAAAGGAGTGTTGACCATTCTGAATCTAGGGCAATTATATTATCTGGTAAGTATCGTGCGCATAATGAAAAGTAATCGCGCGCGCGATGGCTCGCGATGGATGCATGATAAGAGTGTAATAGATGTATCGCGTGCGCAATGCATCCTATAATGCACACTATGGTACCTTTTTGGGTCTTTTTTTGACCAGTTTCTAACTCGTTCTGACTGCTTTAAAAAGGGGTTTTTGCCATCTTTTCAAAGGTTTTGCATTTTGAGACGAAAAGTGACAATAAAGAGCACTAAGAGGCCGGTTTTGAGAGTCTTTTCTTGTGATTTGGATTTTCCCCTTAAGGAGAATTGGTTATGTATGACAGAGGAAGCTTTGTACCTGTCTGTTCTATATCTGCAAAGTTGCAGTTTGTACAAAGCTTACATGTTCTCATGTAGTTTGTGCTGTTCTGGTTGATCTGTGATGTCAGACTAGATTTTGTATGCGCATTTTGCTGATGCGTTACCATTTATGAAAGTCATACAACTATCAAACAGAACAAAAGTTAACAACTTACAGGAGTAATAATAAGTAAAACTTTCGGTGCCAACAATCTCACGTGTGTGTTAGTGTCACTGGCTGTTAAAGTCTTGCAAAAAGAGTTTGAAGGCTGCTTCGTTGGAATTCCCAATTTCGTAGGAAGAAATGTTTCCTTTTGCTCTTCCTACATCCATCGTATTCAACTTAAATTTCAATTCTAAAGAGAGGTTTATAACATGAAATGTAAACATGTCAAAAGAAAACATCACAATACCGGAGTCAACGACTGTAGTGTCATTTGAGCATATACTTCATCTACTTCAACATCAACCTAAAAATTAAAACACGTTCAAATATACTCAGGTGTGTATTTGCGCTCAGATTCAGGTGTTTTTTCCTCCTCACCACCACTCTGGTTGAACAAACACGTCAGAAACATTAATGAAACATGAATTCTTAAAGGAAGAATAAAAATGTTAAGAAACTAAATAATCAAAGCTAAAGTGGTGAAGCAGACTAACAATCTTAAAACATCTTCGCGTTTGTTTAATTT